AAAAGAGTCGCGGTTTATAAGTCACCCGCCTGACTTATGAGCATACTTAAATAGGCTCAATTACTGCTTCACTAAACCAATAATTCAACTAATAGAAAACTGCAAACAAGATTTTCCTACCTATCACTGTTCAAAGTCCTCTCGGCCATCTAAAAACTGTTTGGAACAAATAGCATCAGCATGTCTAGACGCAAGTCCATGATGTAATAAACTAAAAGCAAAATCTCATGTTTCAATCATTACATTGGCTCTGATCGACTCAGCAAGCAGGTGAATCAAGGCATGTGGTTAAATCATGGAAATTTGTGTGGGTGGAACTGGTCAAATCCGGTCTACCAGCATTCTTGGCGATTGCAACAGTTGGCAATAAATGCGAGTGAATGAAAAGAATATTGCAAACAAAGACAAGCAGCGCGTAAGGATCATACCAAACAACATAATAATTTTGTCTTTTTTCTTAATTGGCCTCGTTATGAACGATAGAAACCGAATAGACATGCATGACGTCATGAGATCAATTGGCGTTAAATGGAAAGACTCTCGCCTGGTGAGCTAATTAATGGTTATTTGTTACCTGCAGGAATCTTTACCAAAATCCTTAAGGGAACACAACTTTTCAATTTATAGCATGGAGAAAATTTTCTACTATATCCATGTTGCTTGCCTTCTTTCATCTCTTCTGTGGAACGTCAAGGGTGCGTATTATTTAAAACCGACAGGTAAGTGTAGGAAAACATTCCCGGTCGAGGCAACAGGACTAAATAACCAGAAAGATGGCAACAAACATGAGTAAACATGACTGGTGACCTGTTAAAATAAGGATGAACCATTCTAGATTGTTGTTTTGTACCCTGCGTTCGATCGAAAGAATCTCTTTAGGGAAATCGAAAGCAAGTTTTACTGCACTGCGGATATTAATTCATCAGCATATATCACGTTTTGTCATCTCGCGTGCACTGTTATCCCCGTTTGCTTGTTTACCCGCTTCAGCCAATGAATACGTTGAAAAATCATAGTATTTAAATGGAAGGGGAACACACTGATGAGCTTAATAGCTTATTGTTTACTTTTTTTTAGGGAACCTCCTTAAAATGATACATTTATTTATTCAAGATTCTTTTGAGCCAAGGCTTTAGTGGAAGAAATGAAAAAAATGACCTGTAATACCACTGGTAACTGTCTCGTCATTTTAAATAACAATATGTTATGGTTTACATCAAGAGATCTTTTGCTCGCACTCATTTTTATAACGTTCGCTTGTAGAGGCAACCAGACAAAGTTGAAATCTGTGAAACCTGGAAGTATAAACACATCGGACACATAACAAGATCAACATAATTCGGGGCCACTGTAGAATAAAATTAAAATCTTTAACAGTGTTAACCGTAGGTTTGCAAAGAAAGAGCTAAACGGAACTGTCTCTCGTGCATTCCTAGTCCCGCATTATAAATTCTTCATAAGTCAATTTGCCTTAACAAATGAGCTCAGATCTTTCGAGATGCAGATACCTTGGTATTTCCCTCGGTTTGTAAACTGTCTGAGCGAATCTGATGAACACAATCATATTGCTTTTCCTTTCAGCGTCATAACGTGACAATTTCTTTGATTGAAGGTCGATTTGAGATTACAGAGATACCCTTACCATCGTCAGTTATTGAACAAATAAACGGAACCAACGTGTCAGTCACACCCAACCCAGGCCAAATAAATGCCACTGGTGTTCGTATCGTTACAGTGACAAGAATTTCAAATACATCTCAAGTACCAAAACCAGGTAAATTTGTCACATGAGGCCACAAAGTGCCTCTAAGTATTTCTGTTTTGATTGCTCGTCGTAGAAAAAAAAACTCCTAACCCATGTACTAGTTTCGTTCAATTAAACGAACAGACTTAAATACTGTCATTAACAAGGACACTTCCAACTATTAAGTGTAAATCAACAATAAAGTTCTACTCTTCTGAAAACCTTGCAAATAGATAGATGAAAAATCCTCCCTTCCGTTGTTCAGTTCAAGAATGTTAACATAACGGCATACTCATGCATACTGTATTTTTCAGCTGGATCACAGCAACCATGCCCAACTACACCCGTGTGTTCTTGTCCATGTCAAAAACCTCCAATGAGTGGTAAACCACCGAGTCTTCAACCCCTTCCCCCCAAAAATGATAGCATTAACACTTGGTGCACCTCAGTGTGTATTTGCCTTTGTATCGGTGGTTCTCCTGTGCCCATCCAGCCTCCCACTGAATCTACAAGTAAAGCGAACGTGGCTACTCTTAACCTGGTGGTCACCAGTCCCTTGTCAAACCGGATAACTACAGCAGTACCTTCCAGCACTCCAACGATCATAAATAAGTCCAGATCAACCTCCATTACCTGCCCTGAAACTGCAGGTACCTGCATATGCCTGTCTGTTTCTGTTTTTACGATTCTTCCGTCAAATATGTTTTTCTTGAAATGTTTCCCTTTTGCTGAATCAGTTCCTGATCATTTTACTGACAGTTTTTTCTCCTTCGTTCTCAGTTTGTTCCACTTCCGAAACTAACCTAAGCTCGTCCAGAACAAGTAAGAACCTTTAGCTCGATATTTTTCATAGCTTCCCGTATGAAGGCAAACCTGTGTTTCCTTCATGGTCATTCACTGTTAAATAATAGACACATCACGTTAAAGTAAACAAGACTGCTTTGATTAGTTCAAATGTGTGACTCTAGTTATGTACTCGATTGTCTTAAATACTGATGACCCTGAAGACCAATGTACTAGTTTGGCTTGACGAAAATATCTTCAAAACATCTGAAATGTTTGCAAGAAGTGATGAACAACGTATCTTGAAGGAGAAGCTAAGTTTTAAATGATACGACAAATTAAAAACTGCAACTCCGGCATACGTTTTTGCTTATCGAGAAAAGGGATGAAATGTATGGTTCTGTGATAAATAAATTTAACCGGTAACCTCAGGGTTATGTACTCCAGCTCTTCGTGCAAGCTTTATCTCCAACTTTAACAGACGTTGATTTTCGAAAAAATCCTCTCTTACAGGTCAAAGTAGACTCAGTGTGACACTCAGTCCAACCCTCACACAACCGATGCTTCCTGTTCAGAAAGGTAAATCTTCCAATTAACAAAATATATGTAAGAGTAAATCTATATATTAACATGTACTGAGAATTTGTCATGGTTCATTCGGTTCGACAAACAAGTTTTTCATTTGCAGGCTTGAATGCCACCTCGGCCCTCCTGAATGAAACTCTAGCTTATGGCTTCACATCCGACTGGGTTTTTTTTATAATCCATATTTGACATAATTATCATGCATTTCCGTGAAATTCTTTTTTCTATTGAGGTCACCTTTTGATTTTCATTGCACGGGGAACAAATCCTATCAATGGTCAATCCAGGTGATATCTCATGTTATATTTATATTCTCTAACATTTGGACTGTCCTTACAGGCTCCCAAGAAAACTAAAAGTCACCAATGTGCTCCTTAACAGGTGTGGTATGGTTCTACTGATTAACAGTAAGGCAGCAGCTTGGTCTTAAAGCGACCCATTGTGAGAGACGTCATTGGGTTGTTGCATAATGGGTAACATTCGACTTTTTTCTTTCAATTGCTAGCAGACATCTAGAACCCTCCAAACAGCCCCTCAGGTGTATTAGCGGTCTTGACTTAAGCCCCGCATGGAAATTCTCGGCTAAGGTCAAGGCAAAGCTCCGACCAAATTTTATTTAAATCTTGCATTTCGCGGACTTTGCGCTTATGTTCACTTATTTATTCATCTATCAATGTTTTTCCGTCTGAAACATGTCGACAGTAGCAAGCGTATCGCATGCTGTGGTGCATAGATCCCAACTTGAGGGCAAATAGAAACCACCATGATTCAAGGAATAAAACAAACGATCAATGACTGGCTGAACACAGGTTTTAAGATTCATTTGGTACTTGTAACATACACTAATAATTAACACTTTACTTCCAAATGTATAAATCTCTAAGGTCTTTTGTAGTTGATGAAACCAAGGTTATGGAGGCAGATGATAGAGACAAGATGCTTTTTTCAAGCTGTAAAATAATTTAGTTTTCCTATCGATTACCAATTCAAGGATAAATACTTAAAATGAGACACTAATTGTAAAAAAGGTGCATCACACTAGCAGAAACATACTGTTAATTAATTTTCACTGGTATCCAAAGGCACTCAGTATAAGTTTTTATCATTGTATGATATGCTAAGGTGTTTAATTAAACGTGTATTTGGGAAGGAAGTACATGTACGCTAAAAAAAGTGAATAAAAAATAACAGAACTGAGAATCCTAACTTGTATTAAACAACGTAGCATACTTGTATATTTAAGTATCTATGGTAAGTCAAAACAGTGGACATACAGGTAATCGTTCAAGGAAGGTATCATGTGAGGGCATGTTCATTAAATTTCATTGCTCCAACCGAGAGGAATATATCTGCACTTTGGATGAGTTTTCAAGACTTTAATCTATACCGCCTGGCAGCAGATAATAGAGTTTACATTACATAAAGCTTCAAAAAGGTTGTTTGACTGAATTATGAATAAAACAGTGCTGAATGTAAAAAATTCTGTCCACAGAGAAAAATTTCTTTCAACACTACCTTTAAGTACGGGCCATACTTTGAAATTTAAACATATCATAGATGTTGACATCTAAATCCTCACGAATATCAGTGTGGCTCATATCTCGAAAACCAGTTTATTCTGTTTCGTTTCCCAGAACTTTAATCGATAAAATTTCAGTACTCTCGAAAGTGAACACCGGAAACAAAAAGTACTTTTTTGGACCAGGAGACGAAAAGCGGGTCCCAGCAGACAATCTTACTTGCATTCCTTAACATGATCAGAAACACTATTAACGTAGAACATTACCGGCATAAATGTAACGAAACACCTTAGTCTGCATAAGGATATGTTTGCGCATAATATTTGTGCATTATTTTTGAGCATAATGTGATACTTTATTTCATTTACGTTTTGTCGAATTATTCAAATTTGTGTGAAGAAAATTATTTTGATAAGATAAAGCCATTTAAATAATTATTATTATATCTATTTTATCGATATCACTTAGCTATTTGTTATGTATTTGTAGATCTCTCTCGACTTGCTGAGTGAATATCAATAAAGTTACCGTTGTCCCTTACGAACTGTTTAAAACTCAACGCAATAGGCTTGTTTCAACTTTTGACCGTTTTTTTCAGTTTGCACGTATTAAAACGCGCTTTTCAAGTTCGTTTATTCAGTCGCTGTTATCATCTAACGTTCATGGCTTAGACGTGAAATGATAGTCGATTTCTGGTCGAGTTTTGTCGCATGCTACCGAAAATATGCTTCTACCACGTAGTGGCATTTATCGTATAAGTACCACAATAACTGAGCCAGCAATAACTTCAGTGAGAGATTTCGCCGCTAACCCTCGGTGGAGATCAAGTAACCACACGCTGACTGGAAATTTAAATGTCAAAATATCTCTTCTATCAGCCAAAAATTGATAATAGTATCAACGGGGAAAGAAAAAAATAAACGCGGTAAAAAAATTAAGGTTTCATTCTGGGGTAATCTAATTTCTTTCGACGTCCTTATTTGTGCCCGAGCACCAAATTGAAAAGCTGGATTTATTACAAAATTCCTCCTGTTTCTTTAAATTCTCTTGCGATAGATACATGTATTTTGCTCATTTTACAAAGTAAGTAATGGTCGGGAAAGTTTAAGTGGCTCAAAAGTCGTGTAATCAACAAAACAAACGTCCATAATGATTGTTCCGACAGGCTTTAGGAATTTCCATTACAAAGGTTAAAGATAAATTGTCCACCACTGAACGCCTGTCAACAGCAGACTGGCTAACCGAGTTATTCCTTTATGCTACTTGTAGCGAACTTTTCATTACTACTGATTTCGTAGCGAGTCGAAAATAAACCGATTGTAGAATACATTTATTACTGTATCTATTCAAAAACTTCATTTTTGGCGAGGAGATAACCTACAATAGAGATTTCATACTTTTTTTAAAGTGATTTTTTTTTCTAAACATGACATCATTTTTGAGGAATTAAACAAAGTTCCCACTTTGATAAATGCCAGATGCAGCCAGGGTTTCTGGACGCTGTAACCTCTAATTAGGATGTGTACTGAAATGTTATCTCTTTCATTAAAAGAGCAAATAAAGAAATCAGTGGCTCTTTGATCAGCTTCCGTGATACTAATATGAATCATTTGACTTCTGATCAAACATAGCTAATTAGAAAGATAAATAACAAGAACTAAGATCACTCAACATGTTTAGACTTAAATTCTTCTCGGATATCACAATTCTACATACTTCATTGATTGTCCGTTAATTTCACACCATTTGAAGTCAAATATTCACTCCCAGGAACAGTAAAAGAACTTAAGTATTGCAGAAAAAACAAAATGTGGGCGAAAATCTGTTCAAGCGAGTAAGTTTAATTTGACAACTGTTGCGGGTGGTTCATCTGTAAAAAGTCACCATTCGTTGTTTGGAAATCACAAGCGAGGAAAAGGATTAAAGAACACTAAATTATGGATGAACTATGTCATTGTTTATGGACATGGATGAGTCAAGGAGTTAATACTTGGTGTTAAGCACTTCCCCGTTGTTGGAAAGGGAAATATGGCGATGGAGGGTGCCAGTATAACTTGGCTAGTTTTGATCGCATTAAGCCTCACCTCATGTCACTTTTCAAATGTGAACGGTAAGTTACTTAATAGCGATTAAATCAAAGTAAGAAGATTTTTTCAGACAATCAGTATAAAGTCAATTTTATCTTCCACTTTACCTGAACAATGAGTCGTTATTTAGGAAACGTTTGCTAAATAACCGCCCCACACTTGACATGTGTTAATCATTGTCTAAATTAAGTTGTAGTGTTTGCATAGGCTATGGGGCGTTGGTTTTTTTTATTAAGATTTGTGTAGTTCTATTAGTAACGTGAGGTTGTTTAATTACCCAATTTACTGTAGAGAGGAAATGCAAATTTCTTTTAGAGGTTTAGCTGTCGGGAAATTATTCCAACTATTTGCAATAATTGATAGCAATGTGCAGAAACGATCTATTTTTTCAAGAAATAGAATTTTTTTTATCAAAATATTGCAAAATCACATTTGAAATATGAAAAATTACTGTTTCCAAAAAATGAGACAGCTTTGTGAGTAAGGCACTCAACCAAAAATAAACGTTTAATGATAGTAGCATAGACCTCCTTTTACTGTTTTGTGGTGAAAAGCTGAAATACAATAAATTACTTATATAATTTTATGCTGGGTTCATATGATTTTAAGACCAGGGCATTAACGCGTTTTGATGAGATCTCTTTTTTTTCGCTAAGTCTGGATAGCGAAAAAAAAATTATTGTTGTGTTATTATGAGTTCACAAGGAAATTGCCTGACCATGAAAAAACTTATCGCGCTAAGAATGGCCTACCAGTAAGATATTCGTTTCCGCTTCGGTGACAATTATCCATCTGAAGTAAAGAATAGAGATCTCTGCAACTGAGGGAAACAGTCTTACTCGGGCAAACTGAACCAGCATATACTGCCGTAAATATGCGCTATGAAAAGCGTTACTACTCACAGTTAGATAGGCAGACATATGATCTCAGGCTTTATGGTGAATATAGGCTGTTGTATTCAATGTTTTGTTCAAACTATACGAGGTCCAAAATTAAAGATGCTTATTTTATAAATTTCAGAGCATTTACCTCGTTTTACCAACTTATATAATGCAGAACAAAATCTTTCGACTTCTTTCAGTTACAGGGATAATTTTTAGCGAAATCTGGTTCAAAACTAGCCCCTCCATATTATGATGTTATTTTTGTCGCCGTTTCACCAAACCAATCTCATATTTGAAACATGTAACGCTTTGTCAATTCAAACAATAACAAAAATTCACTTGTGCTGAGCTTTAAAAAAACATTTTTACGCCACCTTAAGATTTCTAGTTCTGTACAAAGTTTTCAATGGCAAGTCATGTTAATTCACAATTACGTTTGTACTCACGCTATTTTATTGACACAGGCTTTGAGTTTCCTCGGATCTTTAAGCGATATGCTGCTGCTCAGGCCCCGGCACCTGCCCCTGCTCCTGCCCCAGCTCCAGCGCCAGCCCCTGCCGCAGCAGGAGCAGCAGGTATGACGTACACTTGCGGATATTTACCGCATATACTCTAAAGAAATGTGTCGAAGCACGATGAGCAGATTTGGGGAACTGTAAACAAACATACATAATCGAGCCGCGTATTTCCCACATAAATACGAAAACTACTTGCTAATCTTTTCAAACAAACATGAAAAAATAACAAAGGCCACCCTCTGACTTTCAAGCAGACTACAAACATCAGCATTAATTTGGGATACTTGAAATGAAAGTTAAATTTAGTTTAATCGTATTATTATTCCTTTATTTCATATCAAGAGAAAAAATGTGAGAAGCCGCTGGACATTATATTCGTCCTTGATAGTTCTGAGAAGATTGGAAAAGAAAATTGGGAAAAAATAATTAATGCTTCCATCACGATCGCGTCCAAGTTCAGCTTGCAGCACACTCGATTTGGTGTGATTCAATACCAGTCATATCCAGAAACAGTCATCCAACTTGGAAATCCACCATTTACCGACGACAAGCAGTTGCAAGCCACCTTTGCCAAAATATTCTATAAGAGTGGTGGTAAGAGGACGGATCTTGCCCTTAACAGCACTTTGGATGTGTTCAAAGCGGCAAAGATACGTAGCGGTAGTAAGGTTGTGATTCTGATCACTGGGGGACCCTCTAGCGAGGTGTTTCTCGCTCCTGGAAAATCCATTTCTGGAGAGGATCTTCTGGGCATGCCAACGGCTCAGTTACACAAAGCGGAAGTTGCTGTGTATGCAGTTGGAGTTCAAGAAGGTCTTGCCGACGCTGATAAGAAAACCCTGACCAAACAGTTGGGAATTATTGCCAGCACACCAACTTCAGAACACGTTTTTGAATTAGCTGACTTTGCTACAGTGCTAAAGGATGCCCCGAAAATAGCCAACAAGTCCTGTATAGGTAAGTTTATCAGCAGTATTTCTATAATGCGTAGACAGGATGAGAGCAGAGATAAATTTTTAGCTCAGAGACGAGAGAGAGTAAGAGATGGTATTTTTGCCATGTCACGTGCGGGTGGACTTAGGTTTCTTTGTACCACGCTCGAAACAAGGCAAACAAAATATATTTTTCTGATCAGTTTACTTTAGTGAAGTTTCCATCGTGTAAATTGGGTTTCCGTCGAGTAAATTGATTTGCTGAAAGTCCCTTCTGTGCTGATTTTGTGCGTTACCAACCTCATTTTAAAAATATGTGGTCATCTGTTTTTACTATTCTTCTTGCTATGTTAGTAATCAGTGGGATAATTACATCTTAATTGATGTCAACTTGGTGTTCCCCGGATTGAAAATAAAGAGATGAGAATCCAGTTTTTCTTTTTAATCCTGCACCCTAAGTCTTAACATCAAAGTCTCTGAAAACTGTTGTTACGGTATAATATAACCGACAGAAAGAACACTATACTCCTATAATCTCATCTACCACACCAAACGACGTGAAATATTCATACTTAGAAGCGACTCTAATGGAGAATACAGTAATTATCCTCAGTAAACTTACTTATGCCCATTACAGTCTGTACATTAGCTCACCATTGACACAAACTCACAGTTTTCTCCAAAGTTCCTTTAAATGAACAATCTTCCACAGTAGCTGTCTCTCGGTATAGTTTTCCAAATAGTCGGTCACTCTCGGCAACAACAACTAATTATTACTACACGACTGAGTCCTCATATACATTTACAAAGTATTCCAGAACATACCAGAGGCTTACAACACAACTTTTGTGAAAATATTTTATCATAACTCCGTGACCAAATAAAATGATCTAGAAAGTTCCATGGTATGCATGTCAACAGGACTAAGCATTCTACAAATTTCTAGAAATTTATATTTAAAGTTATTATCCATGATCTGTGAAGTTGTTTTGCAAGTTTTTTTCTCTTATCTGAGTGTGACATTAACTCCCTATGGTCAGTATTATCTGTGTTAATAAAGTCACTCATTGTAATATACTGAATATTTCAACTCAATAGTTAATGGAGGATGGAGTGCGTGGTCTGCGTGGTCTGAGTGCAGGCATCCCTGTATGGTGAAGATGCGAACAAGAGAATGTAATAATCCACTCCCTGAGACTGGGGGTCTCAACTGCACCGGCCCAAAAGTCGAACAGTATCCCTGCGCATCAGTAGCTGAATGTCAAAGTAAGCATAAGTGACAATGCCTTATCCAAATCTTATACTTAAAACAGCCTAGCTCCAGAGATGAATAGTCCTTTAAACAGAACTTTAAACTGAGATGACTTAAGGGCGCCGTCTTTCTATCTTTCATTTGATTTCATTAGTTCATTTGTACATTACATTTCATGCGATGAAAATACTGTATTAACAAAGCAAATAAAATGTTTGCAGCATTACCAACAGACTTCAAATTGCTCTCAGTGTACATCATTTTTGTTATAAGAAATAATTCTTGGAAAAAACAACCCATGAAATTTTACTCTTGTCGTCCACACCTACCATACGGTAGTTCTGCAATATGAAATATTCTCTCTTTGGAAGAATTTAAACTTTGCAAATGATTGCATTCGGTAATGTCTAGTTTGCACAGTAACTATGAAAATCAAGCACTTAATGACTGGGGCCTAAGGGAAACAGTGAGTTTTGTCCCCCACACTCTCGATTTGTTCCCCTCGACCCCCGAGAGGGTCGAGGGGCAACAAAACTCATTGTTAAACGCGGGGCCAGTCATTAAGCGTTCTGTTTTACCTACCAACTCAAGAACAATCGCTGCAAGACTATATTTCTTGAGTTAGGCTGGCACACTAATTTTTCCTGATTCAAGGTGTACGACCTGATCGCACGCAAGTTGAAAGTTCAAGTTGATATTTTCCTAATGCGTTTTGTTCAACCTTGGGAGTTAGCAAGTTTTGACCCATGACATTGGGCATTTTCTCCTCCAATCGGAACCTATTTGAGTTGGGAGGTATAGCAAAACGGTTTAACAGCTACACAGACCTCTAACATAGTTTTCTTTCGTCCTTTTCCCCCTCGTCAACAAACAACAGGTACTCCACAGCCGGGTAAGTTTGCTTTAAACAATGATCTTTTTTCAACAGATCGTGTTGCATTTTGAACTCTCTTTATCTCAATTTTCTCCTAACTTAAATTCGAGTTGAAATTCTTAGGAATAATGAAAATTGAAAAAAACTTAAAGTCTTTTGAAGGTCTCCACTTCTGAAGCAATTTTCATATTGGTTCAATCTACATGAGCTCTACCTGTGACTTTGTTTTCGAGTGCTAGCTCTTCAAGACAATATAACAATCTTAATGCTTAAACTACACAATTTAACATGTAGATGATGATATTTAATCCTGACTAATTTGTAACCAACGATGACGAGTTGCTCACTGCGTACTTGATCTTCCGAGAAATTTTCCACCAAAGGAATCCTTGATTTTATGACACGTGTCTCCGAAGAGTTACGAGGAAATTAAATCCTGGTTTAAAGGTGCCATGCTATTTGAGGAATTCTCTAACTCTTAATTCTCAATTGAAAATAAAAAATAAAAGAACCTTCGAGGACTCATAATAACTAGACTTACCGAAAAAAAGTGCAGTCACCATCACCATGGTAATTACGCCATTGAGCAAGAGCAGGAATTTAAAAATTTCCAAAAAAAAAGGTAAAATGGCAATCAGAGGAAATTAAATACAAAAAGAAGAAGTGAATTTTCGAGCTAATTTCAGATTTAACCCTATCTTAATTGCTTATTTGCTAAAGATCGACAGGTAGCACATGTGCGAATGGATGTTAAAACCAAACTTGTTACATGACTAACCGCTAACAAACTAACAAACTGTTTTTTCCTTTCTCTTCCTCATGCTCTCTTCTGACGGTAAGTCAATTAAGGCTATCGTTAATTTATCTTTTAATGTTGCCAATAATACTAAGAGATTTTCTTTGATCAAAGGCCTCAAATAAAGAAAAGTGTTATGAATTGAGCACCTAATCATCTGTTATTAGACTTAAATGGAAAATTTATCAAACTTACGTAAAAGGCAAACTGAATTGCATATTTGTGCTATTTGGCCGTTGGGTACTCTACCCGGGCCCTTTTTTGGTTGTGCAGAAGGAGGCGAGCAACCTATTAATTCTTCTTTGACATAGATATTTTGTAGCTGATGGACTGATTAGTTTTTGATATTTCGCAAGATTCCGTTTAAAACATACATCAGAGACTAGCTGGATATAATATATGCAAAATTCAACATTTATTGTGCGATTTGGACGTAGGTATTTCTATCTGATGTCTCTCTCTTCGTTTGCCCGATGAGACATATTTCACTTTACCAGTATTCCCACTCGTGAATGTTATGGAAAAACTATACCAGGACAGACACGGATTCCATTTAAAAGAATAGGCATAACCCTAAATGGTATTCCATAACTTACAACCCAGAGCGCATATTCAAGACCAACTAATCAAAGTGTCCATAATAGCTCATAGAATGGTACGAAAAAGGGAAAGAAAGTGACAAATCTTGAGCATAATAATGCCATGTCTTTCACTCAAGCATTTATTGCTTCGGTAACATAAAGACAGGTTACAGGCTCATACGATCCACAAAGCGAGCTGTATAAGGCTTCCGACCTCGTGGACGAGGGCTGTTAAAGCAAGAAAAATGCCCCCTCAATCACTTAAGTTGAAACGGGCCCCTATTTTAGGTACCATTTCCTAACCAGTAGTTGTTCAAGTTTGGCACGTTTTCCATTTCGACGGTTAAAAGGGTGTCTCCTGGCTCTTTACACTTACCACAAAGCTCTTGAAAGCATTACAAGACAATTATCAAAGCTTGATAATGATGTATTCAGACTTCACTGCTGTAGATCCCAATATATGGTGATTTATGAACCTTAGATGATAATTCTTAAAAGAAGCAAACTTTCCGTCATAATCAAGAGAAAGTTGCAAAAACATTGAAATTATTGAAATTGATCCTTTGTAAACTTCCCAAACTGATACCCCAGCATGAACGAAGATCGTCAGATCTGCTACTAATGAGAATTTTCATTCCCCTAGGACTAAACCCATTAACGACTCTTGCTCCTAAACAAAAACTTTTACAAACATCCGCACCAACGGAAAAACCACAACCTGCACCTCAACCTAAACCACAACCTGCCCCACAACCCAAACCACAACCTGCACCTCAACCTAAACCACAACCCGCCCCACGACCCAAACCACAACCTGTGCCCCAACCTAAACCACAACCCTCACCCAAACCCCAACCCCAACCACAACCACAACCACAACCTGGCCAACCTCAAGCTCCATCACAGCAGAGTGGAATTGTTGTACATGGATCCCCCGACCCAAAAAGTAAGTTCTTTTGCGCAAATAATTCACAACGTTAATCTGGGAGGTTGATAAACTCAATACGAGTACTAATAACGCTCTTAAAGGCTTCTAAAGCTTGCTTACGCTCATGTAAAAATGATATATAAGCGTGTAGTTGAGAGATTTTTGGGTGAGAGATCTGTGTTACATGGAGCCAATTCTAGAGAATTCCCATATTATAGGTTAAGATTAGTTTTGTGACGGTGTAGTAGGTGTGTGGCTTTGGTTGGTCATTCTGATGCCCCACGAGAGAAAAATATAACAAAATGTGTCCAATTCAATTTCCAAGGAATCTAACCCGTATGCGGTAAATATCTTTTGTAAATATGGACAATACGTGTATTTCAAATTCTTTCTTTTACCGTATGTGATTTTTGAGCGCCTTCCGTCTTTTTAGATTGTGCGAACGGATATGAAGTTGTGCCCCTTTCGGATTATCAGCTAGATGCCTCGTCATCTTACGCCGAAGGAATCAATGAAGCGGATAAGACTCAGTCCAGGATTGATCACATGCCCGCCATGGGAAAAGTAAATAATACGAAAGGACGAGGTATTATCATTGGCTTGTACGCTGTCTAACAAAATACAACGAAACATCCAAAGAGTGAGGCAAAAGGACCTGAAATGATTCTGTGACGTAACTATCATCTTAAATCGGGTTCCTTTAAACTTTTATCGTCTTCTTTAAAACCGATGAGATGAGATCTTTTGGTTGAGGAGATTAGATGATTAACACTGCTACAATTATCAGTTATATGATCGTGATCATTATTATAATTATTAACAACTATTCACCGACACATAGGTGAATAATTTTAATATATACCACACAGATACCAAAATATAAGTTTCTTTCTTTCAATACACCCAAAAATAGTCGAAAATTAAACTCTTGACGCCCAATTTCGTCTCATCGGCTGCTCGGAGGTGAGTATAACTTACTTCCGATTTGGCCAATCGGCGCGCGTGGAAAGGACTTTTCACCTGTGTCGTATATACTATTTATTATTATTATTATTATTATTATTATTATTATTATTATTATATGGTCGTCTTAATTATTGCTTTCTTTATCCCCTTTTCTCTTACCAGGAGCCTGGTGTGTTGATCATGCCAAAGCCCTAGCTAAAGATAGGAACCAATATCTTCAGCTGAATCTTGGAGCACCAACCACCATTGGAATGATAGAAACGCAAGGCCAGTATTATTACCCAAATTTTGTTACCAAGTTCAGCCTCAATTGCAGTGTGGATGGCGTAAATTGGGTCAGCTACGGCAAGGTATGGTTGTTATTTGGTCAGATTTTCTACTTTGAACATTAAAAAAAGGAAAAACAGGTAGGGTATCGGTGGTCTTTGATTAGAAACCGACGGGAAGACAAAGCAAACAATGGAATTATTTATTTGTTGTGAAGCATTCACGTAGCTTTCAGAAATTCCTACATTAAAATTTATTTCTGAGGACCTACAAACTTGTGTAGTCTTGTCTGGGTCAGGCTGTCCCAAATGATGAAATAAAATGAACTTTTTACCAACAGACCCTGGATGGTAACTACGACTCAAACTCTCGAGTTGATAATAATCTTAGCCCTGCCATAAGCGTAAGCTATCTTCGGATTATCCCTGTGGAGTCTTCAACAGATGATGTGTGCATGAGAGTAGCAGTCTTCAAATGTCGAGGTAAATTCATATCTTGGGGCTCCAATTGAACCCTTGCATAACATTCCGTGTCCGCCCATATTAGCTCTTGTCCTGAATAGGTGGCATTACCAAGAAAATATTAGATTAAAATACTTCATATGCAGCTTTAAATGATGGTATAGTTCTCGTGGAAGGATATAATCTTACTGAATTTACCTCTATTGTGATGGGTGAAAATAGGAAAGAAGCATGGTGAATCTTTCTCTCGCCACTCTAATGACCAATATTCTTTAAAAATATGACTCGAAAGGTAACAAGCAATATCTGTTGTTGGTTAAAGCATGGCCAGTTGTTTTGATAAGATAGTAATAGAAGTTATAGAAGCAGTGACGCAAACTTGAGAGTGGAGAGGTGCCCAAACCATTATCATTACCAAATTCAAGGGTTTCAGAAATTTAGAAAGTTTAAGGAAAGTGAGCCTAATCAGAAACAATACCTTGGTTTAAGGCTAGTGTCGGACGGACGAAAATAAAGAATATACATGATATGTAAAACTTGTGATGGTATTTCCATGGAAAATAAGAAAAAAAATGTGTGAATGGTTATTGTTAATTTTCATAGCTGCAAATCTTGTTCCACCGGCAAAAGACCTCCCTGAGGATGGTAAATATAGATTACTTCACGGGGAGGGCATTCGTATGGCATTTCCGCACGAGTTGGTGATGTATTAGAAATCGAACGGGTGAGGTTTCTGATACAAACCAACAAGTGCGAAAATCACGTTCGTATACCCTCCCCGTGATGTAATTTGTTTATTTCATACATCTTGACATTGTTTTATGTTTATTTAGTTTTAAATGACTAAGCTTTTAAGTTATTCCAATAAAATTGGAAGCACTTCTTTCACTTGCAGAAAGTAGCTCTAAATGCGTAAAAATTAGCTCAATTAGCTCTAAAGAATTTCAAACCAGGTTTATTCATGATAAAATCGATCACTTGAAGAATAGAAAAAAGCCAGTTAGTGGTAAAGTTTTCAATGGTAGTGATGTGCTGTCGTCATCATCCAACGGTTCGAGATTTTGTTTGATTCGTTTGTAACTTCGTGCCGCAGAAACAGAACCATCTGTACAAATACCTGGTGACTTCTTCAGTGTTTGTAGTTGTGTTGAATTGTCCATCATGGAATACGGCTTCACTGAAAGGCCCTGCCGCACGAAACATCGAGGTTTTTATGAAGGAAGCCTCCGCCTTAGTAGTCAGATTGTCGTCGCAGTAGTCGCACATAGAGCATTACTGCTTTCGTCGCCCGCGGAATTTTATGCTCAGTATCACTGACGTATTCTTCTGTAGCGCTTTAGAAACAGATTTGTAGCTCTTCACACTTTGCACATTACGGTGAAAGTTGCATGATGTGATTGGGGAGAATTTTGCGGTCATTAAGTTTTAGTATCCTTGTTTTCTTTGCGCTGTGGTTCATGATCAGTCGTTTCCCGTCGAGTCTAGCTTCGTTTGCCATCGTTTTCATTAATTAGTTCAGTTTGTCTACCCCTGTTGCACTTGTCTTAAATCAACATTTACTAGAATCCTTTGAGTAGTTGATACTAAGATAGAGGGGTGCCGCGGCAATCAACATGAGTTTGGTCTTTTCTCGCGATAAATTTTGTAAAGAAACACAGGGTTTCACTCATCTGGCCTATCTTGGGTAACGAAAGCTTAAGGCTTCGCTGATCTGATATTTCGAAGTTCCGCTCTAGTTCGTGTTTTGGTTTGTCGTTCAGAATATTCTATGTATTTACTTCCGTCCACAGCTCTGATATGTTGAACATCTTCCCAAGTAATTTTTAGGTGCTTGTCGCAACCTCCCAATCCGAATGAATGAAGTTCATAGACTACAACGTGTTTAAAAAAGCCTCAGCACTCGTGATTCAAAGCAGGTTTTCCATGTTTAGGATGCTGACCTCCCCGTCTGTTTTTGCCTCTGCGGCGTTTGGCTTATTGCTCTTTCTTTCCTTGTTCAGTTGTTTGCTTCGAGCCTCTAGAGCTTTTCGAGTTTGTACAAACTCAAGGTCCTCCATTACGATCATTGGATATTTGCAGGCTTTCAAGGGCCGGTTGAAGCTTGAAAGAAGGCCTCTGAGGCTTAAAGGCTTGAATTCATCTCCGTCTTTTCTCCTGACAAATATAATAAATTCAACCAAGAAACCATTTAGCTGCTTGGGCCGAATCTCTTCCAGGTTTCTCTTCTGATTCTCTTCTTTCATAAACGCCATTAAAATGGCAATGTAGTGTTTTTTTTAAAACTAATTTACAGGCTTGTCTAACTTAATAAATCGTAAACTCGAGGTTTCGGTCACCTCAAAAAGCTTATTTTAGGAAATAAAGTTCAACCGACCACGAAGCTAGCTTTCAAGTTTAACCGACGAAGAACAAAGAGGAGAAAGAACAAAAACCCAGTACTTTTGACATGTTCTTTGTGATTGGACGAATGTTTTTCGTTTCTCTGATTTGATGGCTATAAACAGCTGCAAACTGGGTTTTGAGACAACAGATTTCGTACTGAACACCTCAGCATGCACGGAACTTGAAATACGTAACTATTTCGCTCTATCTAAAAAAGTAAACGTAGTTTCTTGTCTACTCAGATTTTTAGCGAAATTTTTCAGATCGTAAAAGTATGATTTATACACCGTATACGAGTTTGCTAAGGTGTATTTATACTTTCATTCTTGTAGCTTGGGCAGATAAATGGGCAAACGCCACACGCAAGTCGAAGATAGAAAAGGCACAGAGTAAAAATAGACATCACATGGCAGAACGTCTCGGAAAAGGTAAATGTCGCCCCTATGCTGTCATCTGCTCGCTTAGAGAAAAAAAAAAAAACAGGCAAACAAACAGACTAACAAGAATACGAGACCGCAATAGCTTGATCTCTTTCTAGCGCTTATTTCCGCACTCCGAAACACAGCGCCCATTTAGTTTAAAGAGAGTTGAGGGATCTGAAACACGTCATTAGAAACAATCACGTACACGTGATGTTCTCTGGTGCTGAATGTTTCACCCGATAACAGCCTTGTGCATTTTGCACTTTGATAGTGTTTCTTAATTCGTGTGTTCTTCATTTCAGGGCTCCATGAAAAGCATTAGGCCGAGCAAGTCAGCTTGCGACCATCAAGAATCTCTCCAGTTCAAAGCCAGCATTGGCAACAAAATAACTGAAATGCCTCTGATCTGAATGCCATAAACTTTAGCCAATCATTTCCTGTACTTAGCCCTTGTTTTTCTTGGTGGATCACGTGAATTTCAGGTTTGATGGCTGAGGGTCGTCCTTGGAACAAAATAATAATCTGACCGAATGATTGAAGAATACTGAGCCGAATTTGTTGCTGAAACAAAAATGTTTGAGGCAGCAAAGCTGGGTCAGATAGCAAAGTTTTTTTCATGGTGCTAGGTTCTATTATCTTCCTTTGCTGAAAGCGAGCATAGGTCTGCCGTCGGAGTGGATTAACTCTTTGCGTTGAATACGGCGGTTTTTTTTCCTTTTTCAGTGAAATTCGGTATTAGATTATGAAATTGTTATTAACTTATGTTTCGCCATCCTAAACCAAACTTCACTAAAAGTATCTTTTTTATAGAAGTTGAGGTTGATAAAATTAAATTGAAATAAAAACCTGTTTATTTTAAGCCTCAACCTAATGGTTTCATCATTTGGTGGTAGGTTTTGTTTTCTGTCACGACATCCTATTTTGAGTTTTCATTTTCTCTCAGTTGAATGCACAAAATTATTTTCTGTTGACTGGGCTTTTAAGTGTCTGTTACAGATTCTTTGCAGAAAAAAATCTTTTTATTTCCACTGAATTTTCATCATTTCATGCGCTCATTTTTTCTCTCGTCATATTCAAATTGCGAATTTCAAAAGTATTTCAGCTCTGTCCACCTGTTATTGTGTTATTTTTCTTGCACTTTCAATGAAATTACACGTGGCATAAGTCGGAGTAACAGATAGTGAATAACACGACCACATAAATTTGTCTCTTACCCTTTGGTTCAGTTTCAAGAGAGACTCCTACGCATCCAGCAGGTGCAGCTTAATCTCCAGCCATCTGAGTTAGACTCAAATATATCTTGAAAGTTTTCGTTCTTTGACTTCCCGTTAAAGCTACAATAATAATTAATGTTGATCAAGTAACGTGTTCTGATCAATCATCTTTCGGTATCAGAGTTGAACTTCCGAGCCATGTATTATTTACCAGTAACTGACGGTGCAACGGATATGTCTCAGTTGAACCCTTTGGCTTATTCCTCTTTCCTAATTGTTTCATTTTAATCTTTTTAGCAAAATGAAGTATTAAACCTTCTTTGTGGGACTAAACCTCCTTTTTAACGAATCAAAATGCTCACAACGACAAAAAATTTTTTGAAAAAAGGGATATATCGGGACCGCCATTGGTGTACTGCTTCCATGCATCAACAAGTTCAAAGATTTGAATTAGGAGCCCTAAAATGACCACAAATCATTGGCATTCTCTTCAGCTAATCAGTCAAAACAGGCTATCAGCGATTTTGGAAATAATGAGATCAATAAGGGTTTGAAAGTGAGGGAATTCAGAGCACATGGACAAGAGGTTATCGTGTTTGTTGTGAAACAAGTTGCCAGTAGCACTTTGAGATGTAGATATGATTGGCAAATGAAATTAATAAAACGTAGGGCGTGTGAATTGGGTGGGAAGAAAATATCCTTCAAAACTTGTGCCCTCTCGGGACCGCCACTGGTCTGCTGCTCTGCTTCTGAACTTCACATTTGAGACCACGTTAAACTTTTATACTTTGCAGATTGCAAAAAAGAGCAAAAAAATCAGGAAAAGAACGAGTACTAAGATTTTATAGAAATAGAAATGGGAAGTAATGAGTTTGTTACAGGCAAAGCGTAATTCTACAAAGATTTTTAATTAGGAACTGATCCAAATTGGCTTATTGTCAAACTCTAAAATTCCGTTTTCACTTATTGCTGAGAGTCTCGAGCTTTCTTCCTCGGCCTATAACAATATTGAATATTCCATTACGGTCTTCCAACAGTGCCTACCTAAGTCAGTCAGCCCGTGCTCCCTTAACATGCAGGTCCTTTGTATTTTATCCTTTGAACCCTTTTGTAAAGGATAGTTGTTTTCCTCCTGATGCTGATCACTTTCGATGTCATATTGTCGTATTTTTACATGATTTGCATTCTTCTCAGCTAGTCAGTTAAAACAGGCTGTCAGAGATTTTGGAAATAACGAGATCAATAAGGGTTTGAAAGTAAGGGAGTTCAAAGTACATGGACAAGAGAAAAATATTTATCGTGTTTGTTGTGAAACATGTTACCAGTACCATTTTGAGATACAAATATGATTGGCATAATGTCATTGGCACAATTCGTTTTTGGGATTTGATCCAATTAAACTTTTGTCAAACCTTTAAATTTCGTTTTCAATAATTACTGAGAGCCTCAAGCTTTCGCTGTTGGGCGATGACGATAGTGTTATTCGTGGCCGCCGCCCGATAGTTCCCAATTCGGCCATCATACAACACTTACCTTACTCAATCAATCCGAAGGCCCTTAACAAGCAGGCTGAAGATGGTGGTAATCCTCCTCATTTTAACAAGTTTCCTTTCGATGAGCTGTGAGTATATCTGCATCGTTAGAAATTATTATGTGACAATGTTTTATCGCTTTCTGGCACAAAGTCCTTCCCAAAGGTATGCAAAGTGTGCAAATAAATCAAGTGAGAACATTAGTTCTTTCAATAATTCCAATGATTCCAGGGTCTATGAACATATTTGTTTGTTCTGTTTTGTTTTATTGCGCTTTTTTTGTTTTTTTTTTCTTTTTGCTTCAATTCGCCGGTGTTGTTTATGGCTAGCCCACAGCCCGGGACTCTCTTAAGCTGGAAAATTTCTCAAAGCGATTGATTTTTCTCGTTCTTTCAAAAGAGCTACTTTTTTGATAGTGATTCATTTCAAGTAAGCTTGGATATTTTACATCATTCGACTCGCTAGTTTTGGTTTCAACCGTCGCAAGAGAGCAGAATATTGTGCCGCAAATGAGATAAAGTCTATTTGAACATTTACCCATAAAGCCTTTATGTCTCATCGATCTTGGTTGATACTGTGAAGCCGATAACGTTTTAGCAATAGAATGCATCGAATTGATTTTCTCTCAGCTCGTGGTTTCCTTTCTTTCTTATGTTTGTTTGTTTCGTTTGGTTTTATTTTTTCGTTTTATATGTCTCTGTTTTAAACAACGTTTTTGACATCATAAGTTTGTGACATACTTGAATCAATGTTTTAGGTTGGAATGAGATATCTGGCTTACAAATGATCACTCAGCCGAATAAAACAATCGTTTCCTTCATTGGATCTAATCAAACATTTGTCTGGAATTTCGTTCTCACTGAGGAAGAGAAAGCAAAGGAATTGAAAGTTACCTTTGGTCACTGGAGCAAAGAATACAGCATGGTTTTGGGCGACCACTTGGTAACATTTGTTCAAAATTCGACAGCGAACGAAAGAGTGTATAAAGGAAATGCCTCAATTGCAAGGCGTTTAAATTGGGTGGGAGACATGGAACGTGGCTTTGTGGCTTTCCAACTGAATAATGTTCAAGCACACGATTCTTCAGATTATGGGATCAGGTTCCGCGTTGATGGTTTTCCTCCAGAGACGGAAGAAAGTGGATTTACACTCTCTACGCAGGTTTGAAATCATTTGTTTTTTTAAACATATATTTTCATTTCTAAAAGGATACTCCACGGTTCGTCATTCATGAAATAGTCAAATGCGTGTTAAATAGGCTCGACTAGAAAAACTTTTTCAGCTGAAAAAACATGAGCCATAAAGAATGACCTTCGTCCGATCTCCTTGGAGCCCCAGATGTTTTTCGTGCTATGACGTATGTGTCTTTGCCACCTTGCCTCTCGATGATGCTACCTAAATAGACAAAATTTTCCACCTCCTCGAGTGGTTTCCGTCCAGAGTTATTGGTTCTGGGATGCTGGAGTTGATTTTGAGGATCTTGGACTTTTCCTTGAGTATCTTAAAGCCAATATTGGTTGACGTGGCCCTTATTACTGTCGTCCGTTTTGAATCTGCTGCTGGCTGTGAGAAAGTAGCGCTTGGTCATCTAAAAATTCCAGCTCATCCAATCGTGTCCACATTTTCCTCTGGATTCCATTTCTTTTCTGGGCCGTTGTGTTTTTCAATTCAGTCAATGGCAAGCAAATACAGGTACGGGAGAGAAAACTATTCCCTATGGTTGGAGCAGTTGCTGAGGTCTCCTTCATAGTGTCTGCTGAAATCCATTCATTGTGCTGGTGTTTCCTCTATTCTACCACTTCCTCACATGTTGTTAGAAAAGATTAGTTTTGCTTTTTTTTCCAATAGATCTCAAATTCTTCTTTCTCCATCAGCTCTTGCAGTACTTTGAATTTTTTAGTAAGCTCCGGTGAAAACTTGTCACTCGTTTACAAGTTCTTAAGCTGGTCAACTTCAAATTTCTTCCATCTGTTGGTCTCCTCCATCCAGCCTTTATTCAGTTTCAGTTTCAGTGTTGTAGTCAGAAGGTGGCGGTCTGTTGCTGCATCTGGTTCTCTCTTCACTCGGACGTACTAGAGAGACCTCCAAAACTTTCCAGCGGTACAGATGTGGTCAATTTGATTCTCTTTCCTGTCATCTGGTGAAATCCAGATAGCTTTGTGGATCCTCTTGTGTGGAAAGATGCTATCGCCATTGCTGATCATGAGATTCAAAAGAGGACGATGTATTAAGCAAATTAGATCAATTTTAATATTTTATGTAATGCTAAGGCAACTTTTTTTTAGGTTTTGTTCTATCCGAACCTTTGTGATTTGCATAGTGAACAGTTACGTGCGAAGCTTAAGGGAGTTTTTAGAAGCAAAAGACAACCATGTGTAACTCTTGTAAGTAAACCTAAGAACAAGTGTTTTGCCTTCACAGGATCCAACTCCATCACCAACCACGCCACCAGGTGGGAATTTTCTTGGTCTTTTATTCCTAATTAACATGAGTACTTCAAAAATATCCATTCGAAGTTAAATCGGGATGCTGATGTGCTTATGAAAAATGTTTATAAATCTTAGAAAGAAAAGACTAATAAACAGACTGGCCTCAATATAACTCAACTCCATATACCAAATGTTGTTTAGCAAGACTTTGTTTTCTGCACAGTGTTCACGGCTGCAAACATTGGTGATCCAGTAAGTCGGTTAACATGCAGATTAAGGTAGCGATCTTTTTTGTAAGAAGTTAATCTGCCAACAGTGTGAAATTGGTTCTTAGCGACAGAAATGGTGCACCCGAGCCTGAGATCATAACTCTTTTTTATCACTCAGAACCTGAAAATATAACCGTCAAGATTGAGGAGGGTAAAACACTCAACATCACCTGCCGTTTCATAATGGAGCCGGAAAGTTCATCTGTCATATGGCTGAAAGATAATCGGCCCATCAAGAAAGCCTCACGGAGCAGATTCCTCTTCATTCAAAGTATAAAAAGATCGCAAGCAGGAGACTATAAGTGCGTCTCACTGTCCCCTCACAGAAATTACAGCTCACCTTTCACCGCTGTCGATGTTTTATGTAAGTATTTAAAAAATTTGCGTAACTTTTAGAGAGAATTGCGCTATCGATCGTTATTACAAATTTTTCTTTATGCACTTTTCAAACAATCAGAAACATTTTATGCAAAACTGACTAGGTCATGGAAGAAACACTTATACCTGAGAGTCTTGGCCTTGTGTAAAGTTATTTCCCAACCATTTTCTTTCTTCCAGATGCACCGAAAATACTCAAAACTAATAAACAAGTGTCCGTAAAGTTAACGAGGGGAGACTCAATCACGCTCAAGTGTGCTGCTGATGCAAATCCTCAGCCAGCGTTTACTTGGCTCACGCAGGGTGCAGAGATCAAACAAGGCTCATACACCTCCAACTCAAGTTCCTTAGTAGTCACTCCCATAAATGACGGGGACTTTACAAGTTACGTCTGTATAGCAAACAACGAGATAGGAATTGACTCGGTGACGTTTATGGTGAACGAAAAGGGTAAGTAAATGGCAGTCTGTAAGGAAACTCTATCTTGGGCTGAAGCAATTATTAGGCGATGGAATCCAGGGCAGCTCATAGATCTACTGCATATAGACTAATTAAGTTCAGTTACACTCATCCACAATCATGAGCAACATTGGTTACATGAGCATGTTAACATTGACTCCAGTTAATGGTGGTTATTGTTTTACTAATTCAAAGCATTATGAATTCCCTCGACAGAACAACACGAAAATCCCGAAACAGGTGCCTCGGAAAATATTAACACAGGTCAGTTAATTAGAAAAAACTTCATCCTTTTTATCAAGAATACTTTTTAGGATTCAGAGTTCTTAAGATAAACTTTTACTTTAGCCTATGATAAGTTCTACAGTCGGGCGTTTTATTGAAGTCAAACTAATAAAAGTTAACATTGAACACTTGGACCGCGCGAACAGCGCCCGCCTTTATGTGAATATTTTCGCAAACATTTTCCATGACAAGTTTCGTTTTATTCCAGACCAAAGTCAGAGTAAGCCTCCTCAGGAAATTATTAAAACTTATTTCCTAAGACTGTCTAGGAATGTTTAGGTGTGAAAAGAAAGCATCAGCGATTAAGAGAAGCAGAAACAGGGGCAGACAACAGGGCACGCTATTTTTCATTCGATACATTTCAGATTATAGCCATACTTGAACAATACATAACTCCAGTTAAAATATCTATATTATCAGGGTAAAAAAACACTTTGTGCTTTTCCTCCATGGGCCTTAATACAGATTAGATTATCCTGTAAAGTAAGAGCGTAAGAGAACATTTCTCTCTCAAACAGGGGACAAAGAGACACTTACCAAATACCTGTCTATAACAGCGGCCTTAGCCGTGATTACCATTTTCGCGTTTCTCATCCAACGACATGTGGCTAAAAGAACCAGAGGAAACAACAATCAACGAGGATGTGAGTAAATATCAGATTCACAGCTGGCTAAATGAATGTAGTTTGACATCACTGATACATGCTGTTTTATGTAGATTCTGTTAGTTAATAATGCTGTAAGTAACGTAAATTAATTTTATTATTTCAGGTGAAGAAGCCGATGAGAACCACATGTATGTATTTATTAACTCTATACTGAATTATACTTTCTAAACTGTTTTTGCCTTTAAAATTTGATCAAAAAGTGACCTTGTTAACCACCAGAGAGTCCTCGCAAGCTAATGAACTTGTTCGACATGGAGCTTACAACTTATCGTTCCCCGGTGATCCTGAATGGGAAATACCGCGAGCAAGGTTGAATGTAGAGAAAATTATTGGGCGTGGTGCATTTGGCGTGGTGTCAAGAGGCTTGGCGCTGGATTTGCCAGGAAAACCAGGATGGACTGTTGTAGCGGTGAAGAGCGTTCAAGGTTTTATTTTAATCTTCCTTTTTATGTAAAAAAAAATTTAATCTTAGATGCTTAAATTGTTTGTAGGTAACAAAGAACTTTAAACCAAGAACTCTGAGAAGTTGAGAATTATATGTTTTGTTTAGAATCATATAGCCTTGATCTAAATAATATCGATATCATAAACATGAGATAATATGGGTCAACGTGAGTAAGTGAAAATTACGTTTTGCTGACCATCAGATATGATCTAAGTGGAGCTGTAAAGAAGTCAGATGTTTCTAGTATTAATTTGATGTTAGACAGATTAGAGTGACGTTTTGTTCTGTCGGTGTTTATAAAGATGATGCTTCAGAAAAAGAGAAGTTAGACCTGTTGTCAGAGATGTCAGTCCTTAAGCACCTTGATCCTCATCCTCACGTCATTCGCCTGTACGGCTGTGTTACTACTGAAGGTGAGCTTAAGGTAGACACATCATTGCTGTCAAACGTACTGTTACGAACCCGTCTGCTGTCAGTGTCACTTTCGAATGTGACGTCTGTTTGTACAAGTCATATTGTTAAAAATGCCTCCATCTATATCGCTGTTAACGTCACTTTAAAAGACAAGATAGGTATTGATTAAGAGATGCATTGGTTGGTTGTTACGTCATCCTTACATGCGTCAGTTAACTATGTATGCCGAGGCGAGGTAATGACTTACTTTCAAATATCTTGAACTATGGTGTGTTAGTTGTTTGTGCAACAGTTATTGAAACCTTGTAGAAATCCGGTAGATCACTTTGTAACGAACACAACAAGATTAAGTTGATAACCAGAATATATCAATTGAAGATTCCTCAGCTAAGGTAAAATTTATCTTATATTAGCACGGCCGCTCGTAGTGGTCGAGTATGCGCAGTATGGTGACTTGCTTGGGTACCTGAGGAAGAGCAGAGGAGTCCGAGATAACTACTACAGTGATCCTTCGGTAGAGCCCCGCACCAGCCTCACTTCCAAGCAGCTACTTAGGTTCGCATGGCAGATCAGTGATGGAATGGACTACTTGTCCAAGAGAAAGGTAATAAATTCACTGTTGATTTTTTATGGGACAGCTGGAGAGTATTCCGAAAATAAAGTCATAAAGTTACTTTGTAACGAACGATCACTGTAGAAATGTATAATTTTGTTTTTTTGTCGTTAGATCATTCATCGCGACTTGGCGGCGAGAAATGTTTTGGTTGGTGACGAAGACGTTTGCAAAATCACGGATTTTGGAATGGCCAGAGATGTCTGGGAAGAAGACATATATGTGCGAACCCACGAGGTACTTCTTTATGACATATTTTACTCTACCAGTATCCAAGCAGTTGGATTAAAGAGTGCACTTTTCAAGCTAGTTTTTTTTCCTGATCTTTGACTACAGGGCCGTCTTCCGATTAAGTGGACGGCAGCTGAGGCTCTGTTTGGAGATGGTGCATATACTACTCAGAGTGATGTGTGAGTTTGTTTTGTCTTTTCTACACTCTATTCATAAACAGTCGAGCAAATATCACCAGGACATATTGATAATTTTTCCGAAATAAACTCAGCGACAATATTTTGAGTTTGAACATAGGGAGATGCCAGGGTCTAGGGAATCTAAGTTACGAGGAAATACGATAAAATGATCAACCCATTATGTTTTTGTGTAAATTTCGTTTCAACGAATTATTTTTCGTGAAATAGTTTTGGCAAGTTTCTTTGAGACCAATTTCAATTATTAAGTTAAATTTTCTCTTAGTTCCTATCAAAACCGCGTTTTCGTTATTTGATTTTCATGTATCGAAATTTGCAAAAGAACGAAGTCACCAGCAAAATATACTTTAATTAGCTTCGTTCACGGTATGAACATCCAAGTCTTCAAATGAGGCAAGATTATTGGATAATTCCGAGTTTTTGTCTTTATTCAAACTCAGGTGGAGCTTTGGTGTGGTGATGTACGAGATCTTCACCGTAGGTATGTTCAAATGAAAAATATAGAACTTAATTTTAAAAGGTAAGCTCAAGCCACTGTTCCTTTGGCTGAATGTAGAGATGCTGGCAGCTTAATGGTTAACTAGCATTTTCGCTACATACTTTCGGTTTCAATATAAGCCAAGTTATAAGCAACCAGCCCACAAAAAAAGACAAGAGAAGAAAGAGAGAAAAGAAACATATTAAAAGAAAAACAGGTCGTAAGGTCTCAGAGATTCTCTCAAACAAACTTATTTTTTGACATCATGTATCCCTATACAGCTCCTGTCCACAGCTTGCGACATTTGATTACTTTTGCCTATGTACAGACGAATTACACTTCTTCAGATTTACATATGGCTAATAAAGATAACGCAATTCTTACTTTCCCTTTGACAATTTCTCACAGGTGGGGACCCGTTCCCTGGGGTGTATATGAGAGATATCCCCGCGCTGTTGAGGAATGGGTTCAGGATGTCACGCCCAAAATTTGTCAGTGCAACGCTGTGAGTAGCTGTCATTGTAAAACAGGTGGTCAGGGTAGTTCAAACAGCAACGC